GAACTTCTTGAGCATGAAGAACTAGACTTAGCAGCCATCCAGGACTGTGATAAATATCCTAAAACCATGTCTTAACCTTCTGCCCGTGGGGACCTCAATTAAAAAAGATGTTGGTCCCCACAGTGACATGAGTCTTCATCAGTTAGTGTGAATTCAGTTTAAAGTCCCCACTGAGAGAGAACATGAAACACACACACACACAGAGCTCTCGGACAGGTGTGGGAAGGAGGACTGTAAAATGTCTTCAACTTCAAACACCAAAGGGGGGAAAAAATGAGAGGAGTGAAACGGAAAAGAAGAAAGTGTTAGTAGAAGCTACAGACAGCAGCATCTGACACAGATCAATTAACTTGTGTGTGTGAGAGAGAGAGAGAAACACTGAGCAAGAGGGACCCCAAGCTGTGTTTCCATCCAGCTGTAAAATCAATGATCCTCTACATTCAAATGTAAAGAAATGTCGATGTGTCAGTGTGTGCTTTGTTGAAGAGGAAACAATGGTTTTCACAGTTTCTGGAAGTCAATAGAAGAAGAGAGGAATAGTCAGAGATCTAGAGATACAGAGACAGACAATAGACAGAGCCACCATGGCTGAGAAACTTCGACTTCCGGATTTAGAAGTCTGATTGAATTACAGTGCTGCCTGGACTGTTTGACTGACAGGTAACCTTTGGGAAGTGCAGTGCAGAAGCACCACAGCAATGGGTGCCTCCGGCTGATGTCATACTTTACTCTTTCATCCAGTTGAGAAAAAAGAAGTAGCGAAAAGGTTTAGGACAGGAACTTTAGCCCTTAAATCATCTTTGGAGGACAGATGGTTAATAGCCAAATGTTGTCACATCACTTTTTGTTTGATAAATTAGTTTCACATGCTAATTCTTACATAATTACAGATTGTAGATATACTAATTGGACTTTTGAGAAAACAGCCAGAAGAACACCAACACTACGGGTGATGAGGACAGGAAGAGTAAAGGCGACAACATTGCGATCCCGTATGTGTCTGGAGTATCAGAGAACCTCAGGAGGACTTTCAACAGACACCACATCCCTGTGTTTTTAAACCAAAGAGCACACTAAGACACCGGTCCACACTAAAGACCACACACCCAAACACAAGAAAAACTATCTAGTGTATGCTGTCCGATGTGGTGAGGAATGCACAGACCTGTAAATTTGGGAAACTAAACACTACTAAAGTACACTGTTTTGAGACTACCATGTACATATTTTAGACAGAGAGGATGGATGGTTTGAAAAAGGTCTCAAGGAGGCCATTTACACTTGAGTGGAGAGACTGTCGCTTAACAGAGGAAGAGGTTTGCAACACCACTTATCCCCCACTCACAATGCTGTCCTTCCAGCCCTTCCCAGGAAACTAAACAAACGCTCACATTTGGCCTCAGGTGAGAATGCCAACTAAGGTCATTCAGACTTGACCTCAGGTGTTTCCAACGACCATAACGACTGCCTTCGGCCTCCCATGCTGCGCCATTGGCGCTCGCGCGCATGCCAAACACCAATGCCACGGTCAGTGGATGACTGGGTGGCTCATTATGGCTCTGGGCAGGTGAGTTGTGCTTGGTGGTACCATATGGGCCAGTGAGGCGTTGACTCATCCTGCTTCGCCTCTAACCCAATAGTGATAGCCTTAGAGGGTGAAGTCTATATGAAATAGAACGGGGGTTACGTACTGTAACCCGGATTTTATGAGTATAGGCGCAGCCCTCTAAGTTGTAGGCCTCACTGGACCTTGGTTCTCAGTGCTGAAGAAACGGTATTTGGGAGCCGAAGGATGGGTCTCACCGTTTGATATATACAAGGTGTGGACGTAGGAGAGGGCCATGCTGTGGGTGGGCGTAGACTAAAATTCTCAGTGCCGCGGAGGCACGCGGAAGGGGTGAACCCAATAGCAATAGCCTTAGAAGGATGCGCCTATACTCATAGAATCCGGGTTACAGTACGTAAACCCCATTTTGATTATTGCTTGTTATAGGCTATCTAATGTTTACTTTGACTTTGTTGTCGATTGATCACTCTCCTTGAAGGCATTCATGGTGTTGTACTCACACAGTAGACAGAATAGTGTGTTTAAAATAGACCTTGATAGAAGAGTTCGAGCCCTGACTACCTTCTCACCTCCACACGCCAGGACGATCCAAAATGAAGTGGCTGTTCTTGCCAGTTCTGGGAAATTGCAAACATTGTCAGATACAGTACCCCCTCCATTCTCATACTGGAAAGGTGTTAGCATGTCTCAGACACTGTTTGATGATCTGACAAGCACTTTGTTTGAAGACTACTGATGTCTCAAGGTACTAACACATAATTACGTCTAGCCAGGGACCCTGGTTACATGTCATCCCATTCTCTCTCCTCTCATTTCCTGTCTGCTATACTATCTGATAAAGGCATACAATGCCCCTGAAATACACATTTCACAGTTTTACAGTTTCAGTTTTGAAGATTTTTGGGATAACCACCCCGTCTGCAACCACACCAGTTCATTTAATCAGTAAATGTAAAATGGAAATATTAGTTAAAGAAAATGGATATATTAAGATCTGTCTTTTCTTACAGCTCACATTCCAATCACACATGTGCTCACATTTCCTTAAGCAAATCACCAAATCAGTGCTTACCGGTTGGTGTGTGTGTGTGTGTGTGTGTGTGTGTGTGTGTGTGTGCGTGCGTGTATATGTAACCATATCTCCCTCCAGGCCATTGTGGTAAATAGAAGTGTTGAGTTTTAGTCATATTTCACAAACTTCTGCTACCTACTAAGCCTAGGAATGTTCTTGCTGAAGCTGAATACTAATCTGTTATTCACATTTAGGTTTTGGTGCTTGATGCACCAAAAGACTGTTCAGCTGCCATTTTTGGCTCATGGTTGTGCATGTGTGTGTTTGAATTTGTGTGTTGTCTTGATGACAGCCAGCCAGCCTCATGCCAAGGGATAAAGGGCCATAGACTGTGTGGTAGGATTTGGGTGAGAGGAATCTGTCCACTGGGAGCTATTTCAAATGCTGTTGATCCAATTTTGGCAAGATAACGGAGTCAATTAGCCAAGCCTCAACCTCTGAGACTGAAAAATAAATCACTGAAGTGCCTAAAACGCAGTTCATCGAATGGCCACTTGGGGCTAGCTGCAAAAGTGAGTCTCCATAGACCCCCATGTTAAAATTCACAACTTTACAGCGTAAATAAACAGCCTGGTACAAAAATAGTTTTTTAATCTCTATAGCTAATATCCCCGTTCATGACACCTGTGTGGGGGTGAATTTTTATAAAATGCACCCATTTAAATTATGTTTAATTTAATATTTATTGATGCATGTATTTTGTTCCGCAAATGTAAGTCGCTTTGGATAAAATGTGACTTCACATTTTAGTGTTATGGCAATCACAATACCAAACAGTTACAACATTAGCATTAATTGTGATTTATGTACTGGTCCCCTTGATGATTGTAAGTCTAATATTTACTCTCCTTTTATCTCTGTGTTGGTCTCTACCAACTCCTGAGAAAATTTTCTCTTTAGCTGCTTTATGGTCCCCTTTTTTCACCAGCTTCACTTTAACATAGGATTTGTCAGAGTTAGTTTAATGAAAAATGCTGCCTGCTGCTGTTGGAAATTAGGCTGATGAGATATTAAAGTTGTGGTCCGTAAAACCAAAACATGAGCTGCAAGATGTTGATGGCAACACTCCATAGATCTGGGGTGAACTGTCAAGTCGAAGTCTCTGTGGGACACTTAAACCATTATTAATAAAAAAAACTGTTGATTAATGAAGCTATAAAAAAATGAGTTCTAGGGTTGAGGTTGTTTTTAGTGTAGCTGCCAAGTCTCACATCTCAGAAGTTTCTATAAAATCAGATGATTCAGACTTAAAATTGTAATAGTATAAATCCTGCTGGAAATAACTATAACCACACTGGTTTTTATGTGTTGTTTCTGATCTCCATGCTAATGACATTAAAATATCACTCATGTCCAAATGACTCTGATGTAACAAGAGTGCAGAGTTTGTATGAAGCTGCCGAAATCAGATCACAGGCTTATTTTTCTTCAACAGATCCATGCAGATGGATACACACGCTCTACATATACTGAACCTGTTTTATGACCATGGCTATAGCTTAAACTTCAAACAGCGAACTCACAGAAAGAAAGACACATATACCGTATACGCTGATGTTAATATTCCATATTGTGCAGGTTTGTTTGGTTTGTTTGTTCCAGGTTCTTAGTGTTTGCAGGATTTATGTGGCCCACACAGTATTAATTCATCTGCGTCCCCTGATTTTAAACACACACACACACACACACACACACACACATACACATAAAGAGAGAGAGAGAAAGGGAGCGTTGGCTGGTTGGTTTAAGCAGCTTATCTTTACCATGTATTCGTCTGTCAGTCATAACCTTGAAGTGCCCCCCTGTGTATCAGCTTGAAATTCTTCCCTCTATTACTTACATTTAAGCATAATACAAACAGGAGTATAAACATATACGATCACTCTTTTTTTTCTACATTAAAAAACAGATATTGGCTTTGTTGTAAAGGTAAAGAAACTGTCAGTTGGAGTCATTTTGGCATATTGTTTTGGTGGTTTGAAGGAGTATTGTTGTTGGACCCGTAATATTAGGGCTTTCTTCTGCACTCAGATTAGGGGACCATGTCTGATTAAGACACATGTTGAACCACCTATATTGTTTTACAGAATTTGAACATTTTGCACTGCACTTCATTCTCTTCTTGAAGCGTAGAGAGCAAAATCTTGCGTATCAGCTGAGGATGAAGTGTAACCTACCATTCGTGCATGAAAAGTAATTTAACTTTAATAAAAACAATATGAGACGAAACACTTTGGGTACTATCTGTGTTTAAGATCCTTCTGAAAAGAGACAATTGTCACAATAAATAAGGTTGACAGAGAATGAAACCTGGCTTTGTGCAAGTTTAACATGTGGATTCTTTTACCTCTTCCTCTACAGGTTGATGGGCGCCATCCAACCTGTAACTTCCTCTTGGAGGTGGAGAGAGATCAGGCGGAGTGTCTGAAGAGACTGAGGGAGGAGGAGGCCGTTGACAGCCATAAAGGTCAAAGTCACTCTCTAAGCTACAGTTAGAAGCTACTCTTCCTCAAGTTACAATGAAAGAACTTGTAAAACTGTAAGGAGCTGAACTGAAACATGGTGCCTGCAGACTGAGAACTGATATCTATGTATATATGTATGGAGTTTCATACATGCATACATACAGTCTGTACAAGTGTACATATATTCATACCTCTGCCATGTGAGGACGTGAGCAGCTTTCACATTGCGGTTTAATCCCATTTTTGTATTCTGTCCAGCAGTTTAGCCGCAAAATGAAAAACCAGCAGATTCAGGTTACTTTCTCTTATTGAATAGATACTGGCAGGACACCGAGAACCTGCGTGCAGCTGGTAATGTGTTCCAACTAAATCATACCTGGACTGAATTTGGATATAAATAAGACCCACCTGATTTGACCTCCTGAGCTGACTGAACAGATTAAATCTCATGTTAAAATACGAGATTATTTCTCTGCCTGAGCGACTTCTGTCTGTATTTACGATATCTACTGTCATTTGCACCTTTTCTTAGAGTATAGGAATTATTCAGTGTGTTAGGTTATATTTTTTGTTGTTCCTAATATACATCATATTAATATTACCCTGTGTACATAATCTAAAGATCTTTTGGTGGCAGCCGACTTAGCCCTGAATATTTTTGGTCTAAACTGGTATTTTAATGTTGCAGAGAAGAACTTTACTTGGTGTGTCAGGGGGGGGGGGGGTAATATAGTGCTGCACATGACAAGGCACGTGCAGTGCAGTAAAGCTACCTTACTGCCTCCAGTGCTTCCAGTATAAAAATTTTGTATAGACAATATTAAATTGAAGAGTAAGTCACTACCCTCCTTATTCATATTCATTTTTTGTATTTCTGTGTGGATACTGTGTTGGGCTTTAACAAAGAAATGACACAAAGGTGTTCCCTCTAACTTTGGTCAATGTAGTTACAATTCTTGTTGCTTCTTAAATTGAAATCAGTCCCAGTTTGGGACAGAAGACGTTTTACTTTGTTATTCCCTGAAAATGACATGACGTCGTAATTAAGACATAATTATTTTTTATTATTATTATATTGATTATTATTATATACTCTAACTTTAATACAGTATTGGTGGATTTTTCTCTGAAGTGAAAGGCCCACGCAAAACAAATTATTGTGTCTGCGACAGACTCAAACCTGAAGCCCAGTTGTTTTTCTGCAGTGTTAACAAGCCTGACTTTCCTCTCCACTGATCTGAGCCCTGCATCCTGAATCCCCTGCTGGGTTAATTAAAGCTCAATGACATGAAGTACAAAAAATAATAACACGGCTCAAATTCTCTGCGGGGAAAAAATTGCTGGGGAGAGCAGTTTTCTTAAAGAGTTGTTTCGTTCAATTGTTCGAGCAAAAGGGCTGTCAGGACTTCGTCTGAAGATGCAGCTCCCATCTGAGAGCTGATTTCGCGCCCTCCCCGTTTCTCCGCAGGTGCCTGCGTTAACTCGCTAGTGCAGCATCATGGTCATGTTCCCTCACTGGCTTCCCACCAATGAACACAGCTAGTTGTGTTTGTTGGATGCCACGACTGCCACAGGTGCTGGGGATTAAAGTCCATTGTAAGATATAAATGCGAAAACAGCAGAACATGCATTCAAACATTTGATGCATCAAAGAAAAGTGTCAGTTTGAGAGGGTTAATGGAACACTGTCATACAGTGCATATTAAATACTGTAAGTCCGTTTGTTTAACTGCATGAAATTGAAGTAAAGCTACACTAAAAAGGGAGACAGAGTTCAGTCAGCCTTCACTTTATAGTGAATAAAGGATAAAAGACCATAAACCAGAGAAAGAGCATTTCCCTAGAGATGGTGCTACTGTGCATTTTGTGCGTTGTTGCTTAAAGGCAACGGTTCTGTGTTTCTCTGTGTTTCTGTGAAAGCGCACAGAGGAAGGAGGGATCACTTAGCGGGTAGATAGGGTCTTCTTCATGCACTGATGAGTTCAGATCTGTGTTGGAGCCATTTTTACCCCAAAGACATCTGTTCTGTCTCTCTTTCCCCTATCCCTCTACTTTGTCCTCTCTTGCCCTCTCAGTGTTTATTATTTCACTGCTTCATTTTTTTCTTTACCTTCCTTTTCAAACCACCATTTTCTTTATTTGGTTTTCCCTCATGTGCTCTCCCTCTTCTTAAAAAAACATTTCCACTTGCCTTTCACTCCATCTAGTTTTCTAGAAAAAGAAATCAGAAATAATTTTCTGATTTTCTCTGTTTACAATTATAAGCTTCAGATCCTACATTAGGAATACAATAGGGACCAATCCTAGGAGTTCAAATGTGGGAACAAATTCACTTAGTCTTTCGCCACTGACATTTCTGAAGTTCAGGTACAACACAGAAGAAGAAAAGTTGGAGTGAAAGCCAGATAGAAAGTAGAGAAAATACAAAGAAAAGAAGAGAGAAAGAATAAGAGAAAATAATAGGACATAAGAAAAACAGAATGTAATGAAAGAAAAAGAAAGGAAGAGGGAAATTATGGAAATTAATTATTAGGAAGCAAAGTTGAAAAGTAGAAAAAAGGGAGGGAAGATGAAATAAGAATAGAAAATGAGGGATGAATATAAGGGAAGAAACAAGGGAAGTAAGGAAAGTGAATGAAATAGAGTGAAGGAAATAAAATAGTAAACAAGGAAGAGAGAAGGACAAATGGAAGTGTATGAATGGGAAAAATCAATTAAATATAATAAAAAAGGAAAGAAGAAGAAAGTTAGAAGGAACAAGAAAGCAAATGAGGGACAAAGGGAAGGAAGCAAGGAAAGAAATAATGATCATGAGATATGCTGTGATCTTACCTCGTGTTGAACGAAAAATGTGAATCTACAAAATAACGTTTTTTCATCTGTCTGTAAAATGTAGTGAAACGTTGAAGGTCTCCAAAAATGGAAATACTCAAATAAAGTACCAGAATGCTTAACTTCCTTTTAAGTACAAAACTTGCAATGCTTGAACCTTATTAATATATATTCCAAATATTGAATCCTCTCTAACCACATCCACAGTAAATATTTACCTTCCATTGAAGATAGGGTTAGCTAACCCTATGCTGACTTGTTCTCACCCAAAAGGGAGCTTTTCAGAAACACCCCAGAGTGGAAAAATCTGAAAGTGCTGGCTTTGTGTTTCAGTGTGGATGGAGAAAACTGAGCTTTTAAGACATGAATAATGGCATATGCCAGCATGGGATTGCAGATGCTGTGCATGTAGTAAATAAACGAAACAGCTTTCTGTCGCCTCTAACACTATTTTTTGTTATTTATTTTCCCCCTTTGCTCAATTTGCATCAGCAATCACACAGACACACACAGCATGACTCCCTCTTTCATTTGATATCTGTACCGGTGTCCATCAAGGATAATTTAAGGAAAAGCAGGACTATTAGAAAGTGCTAGTGGCTGACTTTACTTTGCCTAAAAGTAAAGCAATGTGACTTTAGATGTAGCCCAACCATGGATGAATAATCTGGATACTGGACCCAAAGATAGCGCCCACTCAGTAATATAAATCCTCCATAGATGAAATATCCATAATAGTCATAATTGACCTTGTTTGCAGTTTGAGGCGTCATTGTTACAGACATTTCTTTTATAACAGTGGTCTATGGAAAATGCCTTTTGGAACATGGGGAAATGTTTTGCTGCAATACTGCTAATAATGTCCAGCTGTCTAAACTGTATTCAGGACTTATTACACAAGAAAACCCAAGAATGTATATTCTTATTATATTTATTATATTAATAGTTTGTTGTGTCAGTGCATTTTTTGATATTGACACCTACTAAGGCTCAGAATGTACCATCAACATGACTCTGTAAATCCTGGAACACTGACGCCCACCTCTTTCCATTCATACACATAAACTGTTGTGTATTATAACTATATTTCTACTACATGAATACAGGACAAAAACTCAATTTCAAAAATATTTTTCATTAAAACTGTCCAAGATACATCCGTTTTCATGTTGTTTTGGTGTTTCTCTGTGGATGAAAATCTTTGCAAAAACCTGAACTGAAAGTGCTAGAGGAGATGCTGGTGATTAGTTCTGCTGGTGTAGCGATTTCTACCTTCAGTCATACCTTTTACCTCTGCAGCATGGAGTGTATCTGTCAACAGTTGTGTATCCTGAAAAAAACAACAAAAACAATCCTTCAGTTTTATAAGTCGCTGTGGATATGGATGAAGTTGTCAGCTAAAATGGGAGATTTTTATTGTGTGCAGGTATCATCCAGTTTGTACTGTAGAATACATTTCAAACTCTATAGGAGCCAAAATAGAAACAGGCCCCTGAAAAAAGAAGAAATCGCGCTGGTTTCTTTAGCTACTCATGTCCTCTGGCTATGTTATTTTTTTCCGACTTGACACTAATAGGTTTCTTTTTTTAGCAGTTTTTTTCTTCACGGTCTGATGCTCCGGTAGCTGGCTGGCTGTGTTTCTTTTGCAGTGATGTTGGAGATGAGGGCTACATTTTACCAAGCAAACTGTCTCCGTTCATCTATCGCTAAAAAGCCTTGTTGACTGTTCAGTTTGCCATCAGCACTTTTGCACCCATTAAGGCTCATGCTGAAGAGCTCGGAGATCTATTTTAGGAGGCAGTTTCTGGAGGGTGGTGGGAGTTTTGTATTCATTCAGGGCCACGTTCTGTTCTGATAGTATCTAAATCCTCTACATATGTATGTCTTCGAAGACATCCTGTGCAATTTTTCAGGAACAGAAAATCCACAATGCACCATGAGGAGTATAAATAAGATATAGTTACTTCCAGAAATACATTATTTGGATACTAACAAATAATAAATAAGGGAAATTAATTAAGTTTAATTGCCAGCAAATAATGAACATTGAACTGTATTGCACTTGTGAGCCATTTGAACTCTATACTCTTCAACTATACTTTCGAGAAACTAATGGGCTTAGTAAATATTATTTATTATCTGCTACATGTGAAAATGTCTGATGTGTCACAAAAGCAAAATATACCAGAAACTATACTGTAAAAGAGAAACTAAACTTGTTAGGCAAAAAAAATACTTCATATAGAAAGAGCCAAGGCTGTAGAATACATTTATATTAATAATGTAACCTTTTAAAAGTTCTGAATTTATATGATATACTGTATATATTCATATGTTCAGTAAGACAAAGAGCACACACAGTACACGCAGCGATAATGAATTGCCACCTAAGAACGTGTGTGCATTTTGCAGACACACCAGAGCAGATGTGTCCGTCAACAGCAGTAACACATCTGGATATATTTAACATGTGCACCTGCAATAGAAACAGACTGTTCTACTCGTAACATTTCTGTGTGAAAATGTACTCATGAAGCTTTGGTTTTGACAGAGTCATTATGCAAAGGAGCATGGGACAACATAGCATGCTGGGAGCAAGCTGAGGTTGGAGAGACCATCACCATCCCCTGTCCCCGAGTCCTCAAGACTCTATTCGGCAGAAATGGTAGGTTACTTATTCACTAATTAGTTATTGATATTTATTGATTAGTTGTTCATTTATGTAGACATATTATCATATTTGTATATTTATTTTGTACTTATTCATGTCATTCATTATAAAAATAGGAAGATGAAGACATTTACAGTATTATTTTCCTCAGCATAACTGATGGTTAAAAATCATCCAGGAAATTTTAAGAGAGTAGAGAGAGCAGACTCAAGCTGATCAACAATGTATTGTCAAACACTTGGTGTGTGTGTGTGTGTGTTTGTGTTTTACATCTGAAGTGGTCAATCCAACAAATGGGATTCCGTAATATACATAGCATTGTTTAAACCAGAAGAAAAGAGGTTTAAAATTAATTCTTGACCAGCTTTACAACAAGGTCCATTTTACATTTACTCATTTGGCAGGCGCTTTTATCCAAAGCTACTTACATTTGAGGAACAACATACAAGCATCAGTAAAGTGAGAGATCTACGAGCAGCAATAGATTCTTGTAAGAGCTATTAACGCATACGGCATCACTGGGATAAATACCATACCATATATATTTTGTAGCTGTCCTGGAGCTTTTGAACGTATGGTTAGAATGAACTTATATTCAGCTTTTCAGCCAACATGGACATGGAGATGTCCTTTAAAATACTCTGGAAAATAGATGAATGTCTATACAATGTGTGTGTGTGTGTGTGTGTGTGTGTGTGTGTGTGTATACATACATACATACATACATACATACACACACACACACACACACACACACACACACACCTCATTCCGTCTGTTACTACCAACATTCCTGGCTTAGAAGCGGATCAAATCTGACCCTCCCCTTTCCAGTTCTGTACCTTTCATACGGAGCAGCAAAAATAAGGCAGTGTGAAAGCACCTACTGTTTACTGGGAAACCTCTGAGAGCTAACACTGGTCATTTGTTCAACAAACAAGCAACATTGATTTGGACAAACAAATCTGTCCCTAGCCTTAAATAAATCGCTTTAATTAGACAATAATTGTATCTGTGGCACATCAGTCTCATGAGTCAGCATTTACAACAGTCATATGGGTTGTGTTGGAGGGCACTAACAAATGTGTTTTGTCATTTTGGTATGAAGAGCTGCAGGCTTGATTGTTGGTTCTCATTGGGATTGGCAATACTACTAACATTATTACATTTCATGGCATTTGAGGTTAATGTGGAGAACGTATTGCATGTATAGCTAAAAAAAGAGTTTTAGGCTACTTTGCAATAATTGTATTGATTCAGAAAAATTAAATAATCTTAATCTGTTGGTTACCTCCCGATATACACACACACACGTCTTATAAAGGAAGCTAGTCTGTCACTTCAGAACAATATGAACATTTCTTGCCGTTTCTGAGAAGACATGTTGTCTTAATTTTAATGAATTTCTAATTCTTCATTTTTTTAAAATCAGAATTGCCTGTTTGCCGGTTTGCCTGTGGCTTCCTCTGTCTTACTGTAAATCTTCAAAATCCCTTGTCCTACATGTTAGTCACATACATTTTGATCAAAAGATTGTGTATCAGAAATGACATGTAATCAAAATACGTAATTAATTGCAAGATTTGACATAATACAGGCTATTTCTACCTCACACTATTCACCCCCTCAGTTTTCGCCTATCTTTGTGAATGTGTGCAGTGGATTCATTTGAATCCATACAATTTTTCCAGCCAGTGACCAGATGGCAGTTTGGATTTCCACTCTGAGCCATGCTCTAATTTACATTGATGACTAAACATTGTGTAAGCACCCAGAGGCTTGTTCAGAGCCAAAGCTCAGACTCTGAGACTTCCCTGTTTAGGATAGATCCAAACCCCCTAAGGTTACCATATTTTATAGAAACAGTAAAGACTTTTTTTCTGGATCAAATAGTGACATGAAAATGCTGAGAAACTGAGAAATAATTAGGCTTTTTCCCTAAAGGGGGATTAGGATTATTTTATTTTTCAATACTGAATCAATACAATTATTGCAAAGTAGCCTAAAACTTTATTTTACTTTGCCTTTACTTTTTCTTAGCTATACATGCAATACTTTCTCCACATTAACCTCAAATGCCATGAAATGTAATAATGTCCAATGTTATTAGTATTGCCAATCCCAATGAGAATCAACAATCAAGCCTGCAGCTCTTCATACCAAAATGACAAAAAACGTTTGTTAGTGCCCTCCAACACAACCCATATGACTGTTGTAAACGTTGACTCATGAGACTCTGATGTGCCACAGATACAGCTATTGTCTGATTAAGTTTAGGCAATTAAAGCGATTTGTTTAAGGCTAGGGACAGATTTGTTTGTCCAAATCAATGTTGCTTGTGTGTTGAACAAATAACCAGTGTTATTGTTTTTCTGGTGAAGACAGTTTATAGCTCTCAGAGGTTTCCCAGTAAACAGAAGGTGCTTTCACACTGCCTTATTTTCTGTGATATAAGAGGTTTCAAAATCAAAACACACAAACACACACAGGCTGTCACTCCCCCATTTGTGGAGTTGTGACAATTAAATTCTTAATACTGCAGTTCTGTGTGAGTAACTGTTACAGATGGTTGAGGTGGATCTAATTTCAGTTACTACAATTAGGTAATCCATTGGTTCCCAATTAAGGGGTCAGCCCCTCTCAGTGGGTCACAACATAAATCTGAGGGGTTGTCAGATGAAAGAAGAAAAAACAAAGTTCTGACACAACTTTTTGGTCCAGTTTTTTTGTGAAATAATAGATACTTTTGGGCCTCATAGACATCTAGACATCATGTCCAGGGGCCCAGACTAGACCTTTCTTTTTGAAACACAAGCCAGAATGTTTTGGAAACCAGTGTATTGTATTTTACAAGCTTATTATATGTTTTTATCAACAATTATAATCTGAAAGCAATGAGCTGTCAGATAAATGAAGTACAGTAAAAAAGAATATTGTGCTCTTATGAGCAGTGGAGTAGAAGTATAAAGTAGCATTAAATGGAAATACTCAACTAAAATACAATTACCTCTAGAACTTACTAACAAACAATTAAAACAAAAAAAAAAGTACTCTAAATGTTTTACTATTGTCATTCACACCTCAGGCTTTGTAACAACAGTTAATTTGTTATCCAATCGGACTCGGGGTTAATGTAGTATGTAGAGCCATCCACCCTACCAAACTAACAAATAATCATGATTTCTTAGAAGCTGAAATAACTAAACCTGATGGCCTTAAGATAAAGCTGCCATATTGTTTAATTATCAAGGTGCTATGCTTTCTTTGAACATCATAAAAAGAAAAGTGAGAATATATGGTCTTCAACAAATACAGAATCTACATCTCCCAAAACTGCCACTCAGTGCTCTAGAACATTTAAAGAAATTAAGAATGACCTGCACAAACCAGTGACACTGACATACATAATGAAGCTGCAACAATATGTACATTTTTAAAGGAAGTTTGGTCAGACCTCTTCCCTGCTGCTGTTTCTTATGGGATTTTCCACAGACACCAAGCAAGGTAAACACAGGTCATAGTACCATTAGCAACAATATTAACATCACTACTTGTTAACTGGAACACCTACATGTAAACACTGTTACCCATTAAAAAGTTCTCTTAGCTTCAGCTGTGTTTACCCTGTGAAGAGGGTTTGTTAAGAGTGTAGCGAGGCAGAAGTGTGGTGATGTTTCTTCCAGTCAGTGAGCTAGAGATGATCCATGCTTTTTGTAGTGCATTCTGGGAATTTCCAAGGGGGGTGAACTTCCAGTGCAATGCAGCGATTTTGGCATTGGGACACCCATAAAATGTCCCTCAGGAGTTCACTGCCTAGTGGACATGGCACTCATGTGAAACACACTGAGTGCTACTGAGCTTCATGCAGTGTTTTTAGTAACACATTGTAGTCTAACGCAAAGTGTAGTACTTCATCTTAGACTACAATGTGTTGTGTGACAGGGTCTCAGAATACATGAAGTCTCTATATTTTTGTATCTGTTATGTATCTTGTTTTTGTACCTTTTGTGTAATTTGAATGTTTGAATGTGAAATCTCCCAAAGGATTCACAGCACTGTCGACTGCTTCAAATACATTTTTTTCGTTATTGCAGGTTTGGCATGAAATCATTTGACTTGTTTCCATTCAGAATACATTCAGTCACTGACAATAGTTATTAAAATCATAGTAATCATTGATTTACCTAAAAAGGCTGGCGTCAAATTGTGGTGTAGTCAGATGTTCCCCAGAGCCAAAAAGCTTGACAACCTTTATTCATATCCTGATTTACTTTGTATTTATTTTTGAATAATAATAATAATAATTTAGCTGACACTTTTATCCAAAGTGACTTACAATTGATGCCTGAATTTATTTACAATAAAAACATTTTAAAAATCATTTCTGTATATTTTCTGTCAGGTTGGTGTTAAATTAAGTGGAAATTGTTAATTTGTCTATAGAACATAGAAAAGATATAAATTCAAGTATGATGTAGGTATGATGCAAATTAGCGACAACAGGCATAAACAAGAAAGGGGATGTCAGAGGTCGCACGTCTCTGGAGCTACGGATTAAGTATCTTGCTCAGCGACACATTGGTGAAAGTGTCACTGTGGGAATTTAATCCAGGTCTCCCAGACCAAAGGCATATGTAAAAACTAACACTCATGTTCAAAACAAAGACATGTTGCTGTTTAATGTTTCAAACCGAAAGAAAAGAAAGTAATACTTCAGGTTTAAAGTTCATTCTTGAACCTTGAAAACAGCAGTTTCAGTGAAGTGTAGAGCTAATTACTGTATCTCTTCTTCACAGGTAACATAAGCAGGAATTGCACGTCAGCGGGATGGTCGGATGTTTTCCCGAACATCACCAGCGTGTGTGGGTCTGACACCAGCCAGGACAAGGTACAGTAAACGTCTGCACTGTCGTCTTTTGCTTTTCTGACTATTGTTGTTGCGGTAAATGTAAGAGCAGTGTTTCATTTGAACACTAATGAATTCTGACTGTGAAGCAGGAAAACAGAGCTGCAACATAACGTTGACCATTAGTGGCCTGTAATTGACGAAGCCTGCAGGGTTGGATGTTAATTAACACTGGTTTGTGGTGAAGGGCTGCATCTTTAAAAGGTCAATATGCCCAACAGTAGTGTGATACATGTTTAAATGTGAGCAATCTGTGTGTGTGTTTGTGTGTGTGTGTGCACATGCAAGCTCCCCAGCTTGTTTTTTTATCACTCAATAAAAAAAAAAACTTGGAAACGCCATTAGCCTTCAATTTAGCATTAAAACTAAACTGTAACTGTAACTAAACTGTTTCTCAGAATGCCAAAACAGTTGTCTAGAAAGGAATTCTCCACATATGATTTTCGTGGGGAGGGAAAAATTGTAATTTAAATGCTGCTAAAAGAGGTTATGTATGACAAACTTTTGCTTCTCAACCAATTTCAGTCCAAAAGACATCTTCATGTCTTTTGACCTGTACATCATCAAATCAGCGCTGACCGGGATGTCTGGAATATTACCATACTCTGGATAATCACAAATTACAAAAGCCTGCAAATGTATTGTGTGACCTTGATAATGATAAATTAAACACTCCATTTTTGTTCTGTTGTGTCCAGTATTTTGGGTGTGCTGTGATTCCTCCTCTTCCCAAACAGTTCGGGGAAGCAGAAGAAAGAGTTTATGGTGAGGAGAATGTTTGGCCTTGTTTGGTATTGACGGCGATAATTGCTGCTCCCATCCTCTTTCACTGCTGAGGTTCAGTTTGGGTCACGACTGGTATTATTCTGAATCGGTCTTTGTGCTTGTTAAATTAACTGTGTCACCGTCTCTCTTGCCAGTTTCTGTTGCTCTGTCTCCTCATTTCTCACTCATCCACTTATGTTTCTTTAACTTTCCTCTTTTTCTCTTTCTCATCTTGATTTGCTTTTTCTTTCTCCTGCCACCCAGTCTGAGCAGGTCTCCCTCTCATTAAAAATCACCCAAAAGATCTGGAGCAATATTCCCTGTTTGTCAGATCAAAGTGGTCCACATTCAGCTGTTGTACTGTAAAAGACAAAGGAAGAAGATATGCATTTATATCTTGCTGACTCTGAATTACTGGTATACTTCAATAGCTGTGTGAAAGGCCCAAGAATCATAAAATCCTGTCAAAACAATTAATGAATTTGAGCATTTATATTTCAGACATAGGAGAAATGACATATTCATAGTTTATAGATTTCCCTAAACAAACAGATGCAGTGGTAGGACAATGCTGCAGCGTCTGTTGGACAGACTTTTCCTTTGTAAAGTGACTTAGTTGACCTGAAATTAAAGAAACTCGATCACACACTGGCTGCGACTCACAGTGTGAGAGGGGGGTTCACTTGATTACTATCATGGCAAGAAAATGAATTTATGGCGTGACAGAGTGTGAAAAGTGTAAATTGTGTGAGTCTCATGAGACAAGTTTTCCCCTGACAAGAATAGGCGTCAGGTTTCAATCTTGAGGGACTAGATTGTAACACCCCTAGTAGTAACTGAACTTATTCTTCAAACACCTACAAGTAGGGCTTTGCAATTTGACTAAAATGTAATATCCCAATTAGGCAATTTTATATCTCAATAATGATATATATCCTGATATAGAGCATTTATAAATTCAATGAAATATTATGAACTCGTGATTTTTCTCTGCATTATAAAGGTTGGGTAAGCACCAGGACAAATACCATAATATAGAGTGAACAACGACACAGCAAGTAATGTAACTAACGTTAGCTAAGTTGTGGATTAGCTACTTGCTGCTGCAAAGTAAACATACGAGCTCCAGTCTGCAACACAACTCTCCTGCTGCAATAGCTAACATCACAACAACAGTATGTCTTGGTGAACTATAAAGTAAACTAAATGTCTGTGAGCAAGCCATAAAAAGTTACCTGACACACATTATGGCTGTAATGGTTAGAATAATGTTGCGTGGCTCCTCCATACAACAGACTTCTCTCTTTGGTATGAAGTCCTCATTTTTGTTTGCATGGTCTGAGTCCTCCTGTTTTGTATTATCCAGTTATGAGTAAACTTCACTCTTCTCCATGTTTGTTTATTATTAAAACCTGTTAAGCATGGAATTGCCCGGTACGGGGGAGGACGATTGATTTTTGCGCAAAATGCAAATGAGAAATCCAAGTATTTTGTCACCCTATGCATGCCACACACCTCTGTGAAGCCATAACATCAAACCAACCATTTTTATCCATACCAAACACACATCATCTAAATGAACTTACATCACAACATAAATTGCTCTCTAATCACTGCACATGGCTGCAGTTATTAACATCCAGATATCTCTCATGTCATCCTACACCACCATCCGACCACTCTAAAGAAAGCTCACCTCCAGCTCTGATCAGCTGTGTAACTCATATCACTCAAATCACTAAACTTAGTTATTAGCCGGATAACAATAACATCAAACACACATACAATAACAACTGCTGATTTACTTTTGCTGTTTTTGCTGATTTCAGTGCACAAACAGCTGTTGTTTCTGTGTATAAACTAGCTCTCAGGCCGACATCTTTGTATTGTGCAATACCTCTGAGCTGTTAAGTTTCGTTTCTCGCCAGAATTTGCAGGAGAGAAGTGTTGCTTTGGAACAGACGGTCTTTATCGTTGACTAAGGACCAACCCGCCGAAGCTACACAGACATTCAATATATCAAATGATTTGTCTGCCCAATACGAAGAGATAGAACTTATAGCCCTGTAATTGAAAATTTGTGAAATAACTAGGGTTGTGACGAGACACTTAACCCTCGAGACGAGATTCGAGATTGTGTTCACGAGGTTGAGACGAGACAAGATTTTAACATTATTTTTAAGAAATCTTTACTAAAGAATTATATAAAAAAATGTGAGCATTAAACACTCTGTAGCCTAACTCTACCAGAATCAGAAGTCAGTGCCACTCTCAGTCATTCTGTGCTGCTTTCAGATCTGTTTTTCCTGTAGATCAACTTATTTAATATCATCCCTGCTGAGTCATGATTTAGTCTTCTCTTGTCTTTTGTGTCTTTGTTTGGGGAAGTAACCTCTTTTACCCTTTTCACTTCAATAATAAATTATTTCATTTTAATTCAGTTAGAAACTCCTGGACTTTAATAGCTCCTGTGTTTCAGCAGGTTTCTACTCATGTTCAAAACTTTCTGCACATTCAGAATCCCTCCCACATATCTGTGTTCTCTGACATGTCCAGAACAAGAGAATAACAGCATCATTTAATGAAAAGTCTACCTGCCCTTTACTCTGTTGTGCATTACGTTATTGATCCACTGGAAGTAATGTTATCCCCTTCAGACCGTTTGACCGACGCAGTTTGGGACTGCATGCTGCATGTGAAACTGAAAGTAACTGAAACACTTGTGATCAGGCAGAAATCTCACCACAAACCTAAGACATGCTATCTTCAGCAGAAGCAGCAGCTCAGAAAAAGTGCAGCTCACAATTCCAAACAGAGCAAAGCTGTGCTTCAGTTTTTATGTTGTTTATGTTGCAAAACTCTGCCAGCTGCGTTACCACTCAACACAGCTGTCTGGACTCACAACTTTGGTTACTGTCAGGGCGTATGCCAATGTTGCATCAGCTGGGCATAGTTGATTTGCTCTGTGCGTCTATCTTAAAAGTTATAATTGTATTTAATTGTCTCACTGCGTGAGAAATTTAATGTGTAGCTTGCAAGTTAAAAATGAAGATTGCATGAGTCTCGCGAGACATCTATTTACCTGACAAGAAATATTGTCATTTAATCGTAATTTAATCACACAAGATCTCGTGGTACGAAATCTCGTCACACCCCTAGTAATAGCTGTTGTATTTTGTTTTTCATCAAATTTACAGTTACAGTTGTATTCCAGGTGTATTAGAAGAAATTCAGTTACATTATAATCTAAAGGATATTGGTTTTGATGGTGATATTGCTATTAAAATATAGATTTTACCGAGGCGAGGATAAAAATATCATATTTTCCTTTATTGCATCTCCATTTACTCTTTAATAGCAAAATAAATAGGTTCATTTACAGTTGATTTAGTTGGATATTAAATTCACCTTAGATATTCGCAGATGTCTGTGTAAAACTAACTTCACCACGGTGCAAAGCTTCGTCCCCTCGTAAAGTACTGAATTTGCAACACAATGAAATAAACCATAAAATGATAGATGTGTTTCTATCGTCAAATGATATATATCATGATATATAGCTGTCATATCGCACAGCCCTACGTACAAGATTGTAATTATTTTAGCCATAACCATGCTGTCCAGCTGGAGAAACCAAACCACTGTTACACAACACAGATGTTTCTATTTATTGTATCTAAAGGATTTCACACCATACATGTTTCTATTTCATGTAAGAAGAATACAAAGAAAACATGTAACAAAATGCACATTTTAGAAGGCAGGGTTTCACATCTACTGCATCTTGCACACCAAAGCCCTTTTAAGAATTCAGACAAGGAATATGTAACATTGGTGGATTTATCTATTAAAGTAATGGCTTTTTGTCATTCAGACATAGTTTCTACAGATTTATTCAGCCACAATTCTGGCATGATATTTGGCATCTGGTGCGTGACAAGGAGAGGTGTCACTACTTGAAGTAGTGACAGCATCGGTTATTTTATTGAAACTGACTTTATTCTCTTTGTTTCGAAGGTAATGATAATTAAATGATAATTACATTACAGTGATCTTAGATGGCAGAACTGGGTGTGCATTTAATCTCTCTCTTTGTCCTGACTTTTATGTAAAAGTGACTCAGGCCCTTATTTAGACATGTTAGTGACATGTACAATGAATGTCTAAAAAGGGCTAAATCCACATTTTGAGAGGAGACTGAAAACTGAGTAGGGAGG